GTACTAACTGAAACTATGTTAGTAGTCACCTACAAACGCCGCAAAATGCTTAGAATATAATATGCATGTATCGGTCTATAATGTACTGATCGCAGGTTTCATAAGGGTTTTTTGCCAAGAATATTATACAATAATTCTAACTTATCTAGTGGTAAGTTTCGAGTATTTTAGTAGTTTAGTAGAGGGTTTATTCATAATGTTTTGTTAAAGAAATATCATTGTTGATCTCTATAAAAATATAACAATTTTCAATAGCATGTGCTCAGCTATTGTCGATATGGACCATCTTTACTTCTGGTATTGCATTATGCCCCGGACTGAGTTTTTCCTGAAAGAAAAGTCTCCAATAAGTAGTTCCTATCGGAAAATATGGGACAAACAGTCTATGATTAATACTATTGTAGTCGTACAAGGTACAAGAAAAAAAATGCGATTTTTGTCGATGAATGTTGATAACGTTGATGAAAATAAAAATGATATTTTTGTATTTCAAACATTGTGTATTAGTTTCAATCATATATTTCGTCTATGTTTAAATTTTAATAAAAATTCTGATAAATTTCTGGTGGTCCATATTATTTTTTCCATGCAAAAATTGCATTTCATTTAAAATTGGTACTTTTCTCCAAAGTGGCTTTCTTGATGTTAATTTTCTTATTCAGTAATTAACAATCATTAAACAACGAATTTTCTCATGTATAGTTTTTGTCGTTAAAAGAAAAAAGTTAAATATTGCGTAGGAAAAACAAAATGGGGTTCCATATTACAACCCTCTCCTCTACATATTTTAAAACTTTGAGGTCTTCTGGAAAAATTAATGTCTGATACTGAATACAGTGAAATAATACATTTCTGTATTAAGCTAACATTTTCTAGACAGTAACATTTCTATTGTAAATATTTTCCATGCCAATAAATAAAAAATAAAATAAGAAAAGCAGCAGGTGAGACGTAGCCAGTAAATCGCATTGGCATAAGAACCACCTATATTTTTAGAACGAAAAGCTCTTGATTTGATTTAGCTCGGTGATATACCTGTATTTCGTAGCAGTTTTTTCTTGCTAGGGATTACATCCACATGGAGAAAACGTTTCGTCGTTACTTAGTGGCCGAGACATCGAATCTGGCAGGGTATTTTATGGCTTCGATAATTTAGTAGATTGAATTTCTAACAGATCACGTATGTTTGGTATTATCGTCTGCCTTGTTCAACGAAAAACAAAACAAGTCAAGTAAATAAAATTTATAAATAAAAATGGAAATAGATATTCCTTGAAAAAATCCGGGGTATTTCGTCACTGGAAAAATATTTAGTTTTTTTTTTCAAAAATCGAATCGGCTACAAAGATATGACTGATATACAGTGTAGGTCACTAAGTCTGCAACATACGGGATATTTTATTAGAAATCCTATCCAAATAGGAATGCTGTCAAAAGTTAGAGCATGTCAGATACACTTATTTTGATTCCAAAAATACGTAGTAGTTCTATTTCCACGGAATATTGGGACATCCTGTATACCGGGTGCGCCTCAAACGAGGCTCACCTCATAACTTTTTCCAGATAAAAAACGAGATATGGTATTTTATATGATTGATATGTACCTACATGACATAAAGTAGGATTGATTGACGTATTCAATAGTTTTTGGTCACTTCCTGTCAACTACAACGTTTGATTTTTAAATGACACCCTCAGTATTTTTTACTTTATTTGATAGAAAATGATTCTGAATAGAATGACAACATAATATGTCAACATTTGTCATTTTCGTATATGGTTTATTTGAAGTTGTAACATGCGATTCATAACGACAATTTGACTCGAAATACTAGATGTGTGGTATCAAATTATTCGCAAAAAAATGCTATTTCCAAATATGCTAATGAGCCACTATTGTTCCATTTGAAAAAATTAAGATATGATTAAATATAGGATTTGGGCATCTTTTAACCGGTCAGGACAAGACACGAAAAACATTAGACGATCAAATCCATTTTTCCAAGGCTCCTTGATTAAAAATTAATGTTTTTGACACAGCCATGGTACTCTAGATTGGAAATACGATTTTTTTTGCAAAAATGTCAAAAGTTAATACCTAGTAGATATGTCATTCTATTCAGAATGTCATTTTCTATCGAGTAAAGCAAATATATACCGATGGTACCATTTAAAAATCAAAATATGTCATTTCCGGTGAAACAGGAAGTGGCCAAAAACAATTGAATATGTCAATCAGTCCTAATTTATGTCATAGACTAACATATCTACCAAAATCTCGTTTTTTCATCTAAAATTATAAAAAAGTTATAGGGGGAGCCACTGTTGAGACGCACCCGGTATATACCAATAAAATTTAAAATTATATTTACATTAAAATAATTTGAAAATCCTTTTTAAAATACGAATAGTTGAAATACATTTTTATTATATTCTAGACCCACATAAATATAAAAAATAGTTTGTGTGATACAAACAACAGTTCCTGATGTAAAATAAATTTAATGTTAACAAATTATACCTATATCTATAGGTAGATAAAATACTTTTTTCATGAAGAAAATAATTTTTCTGAATTGGTGCTGCCACCTATACAAATATATAGAAAGTAAAATATACGATCAATAGGCGGATTGTGGAAATCTACTATCACGTTTTATTTAGTTCCAAGTATGACAGTGCGATGGCGCCCACAAATCGCTGTTTATACAGTCTGTTTAAAGTTAAATAATCTAACGCCAGATGGTGGTGGTACATTGGCAATGTTTAATTATATTGTTAGAACAATAATTAAATAAAAAAAATAATTAACTAAGAAATAAATTAGATCAAAACATAATTTCACGTGGTTTAAAAAATATTCTCAGATTTTCATAGGAAAAAAGAGTAATAGAAAATACGGAAATTGAAACAAAATCAAATATATTACCAATTTTTTATCCTGCTTGTTGTAAAATTTATGTGTCTGGTTAGTTATAAATTAGTTGTCAATGTCAATTATTTTCTGCAAAACAATCTGCATAGATAAAGGAAATAAATTTAGATTGGAATGTCCGTCAAAATTTTGGGTCGCGACCGTTGTATGTGATCTGGCGCTGCTATAGCGGTAAGTAGCGGTAGTAAGTAATAGATTTAAATTAAATTTTCTCACAAAGGTATTATGACTATATGGAAAAAATAAGCTTAGATTGTTCTGGATTTCTATTTTGATTGACATTAATTTATTTTGTGACAATTTTGTTTCATACCAGATTTTCTTATTTATAAATTTCTTCCTGGGAGGGGTAATTACCCCCATTACCGCTCCCGTATATGCGCCCCTGGCTAAGAACAACCGCAAACAAAAACAGAAATAATTTTCTCTTGTCCATATCTCTTGTCAAAGTCAGAATCTTCAAAAATTTTCCAAAAATTATATCTTTCAAAATCTAAACCGCTCTCATTTGAATAAATAATATTTGGCGATATAATTCCGGAAAAAGCCGAACCGCTCGGAAATTTTCAAAGCTTTGGGTGGCCACTGGTCGCCACCGTTGTAAGAATAGCGCCAAATAGTGTTTACATTGTCCTTATGGGCACTTTCCAATCGAAACTTGTTTCATTTATCTATGACAATTTGTAAAAAAGTTTTTAAAATTATTGGAATTTTAGATTAATTTTGTTAGTTTGCAAAATTAACTGTAATTTTTTTTAATGTTTTATGAATACTAATTTTGTCGATGGTATTTCAGATTGAATTTTTGTTTTTATATTAGATATTTATAAGTAGTTACCTACTCATTATTATACCAATAAATGGTACTCATAGAAAAGTTTCTTTATTTTTGTTGAAAATATATAGGTATTTGTTTGTTATTTTTCTTTTGATATTTTTTTTGATTCTGTATTTAACACCCTAAAATAATTAAAAAAAACAAGAAGGGTGATATTTTTTTTTTCTTTTATTATAAAAATAATATTCCTTTGTTTGATTTAGAATACGTGATCATAACTGATATCTACTTATTTTAGTTATTGTTAGTTGATTTCATGTGAGACTGAATAAATAAATTTAAAAAAAATTTTGGAGTTGGTGTACTGTATGCTAATTTTTTGAGTGAATTTAAAAAATACAGCACTGTTAAACTATTTATATTACAACAAAATTACCAGTGGTTTAATAGATACGTTAGTGTATAATTAATGTATTCTCGAAATAGTTTTTAGCATAGGATGAAAATATTTTTAGCATATTTTAGCCATCCTAAATAGTTTTCTTCTTATATTTTTTTTTTGTTTCTGATGAGAGAGATGTACCTACTGAATCTCTAGGGTTTTTATATTGCGTAAGCTAATTTGTTTACAAGTAAAAAGTCATTGAAATTTTGATTCATGATTGGACTTAACCCAGTGAAAGTTTAGGAAAAATTACTTTTTATATTTTCAATTTCTATTCAAGGTGCAAAACACGCAATTTTTTGGTTCGAAAAATTAAACCGCAATTGATTATTAGCATGTTAACATTATTTATTGTGGAAAAGCACAAGGAGTATAAAAACAAAATATGAATTTAAATAAATATTTAGGCAACGGCCCAGCTACGTCAAACCACCGGTTCCCATTAGAACACCGAAGTTAAGCGACGTAAGGCGATACTAGTGGATGGACGGGTGACCGGTTCGAAACTCTGTATCGTGCTGTTGTTCAATAAAGGCAAAAGTGTAAAATCTATTGACACACACTGTTCATTCACACCGGTTCGAGGCCGGAGGAGATCGGATATCTCGTTAGTAAGAGTCGATTTAGACACTTGCCAAGTCGATAGGCCATTGACCATGATATGGCCGAGGACCGCGGTTCGGATTCCGCGTAAACAAAGTACCTAGGCCCCGTCCAGATTAGCCCTGGCAGCAAAAAGGAGACATTAACTTCAAATCTTTACTTGACTTTAAATATTATAATAATTTTAATATTTACTATTTACTTATTATATTATACTTTGAACATTTTATCTTATTAAACACATAAAATATATTTATAAATAACAGTTTTCTTTTTAAAAGCGATTGTTTATAAAACATATGAATTAATTATACATTAATAAAACCTTTAGAGATTCGTACATTCAATTTCTGTTACGCCACCTTGCTCTTGATTGGATAACAATATTTTTGTTGCATTACTCCCAGGTGACCGATCTAAAACAAAGTATTACATACAAAATTTATATAAATAGCTTTATGAAATAAATATATTCATTTTAAAGAATTGTTGTACCCTCGTCACATTGTTTTTACCCTAATTCAGAATTGCTTTGTATTAAAAATTTTAAAGAAATATGTTTTTTATTACACAAAGAGAGATTTTCACTGTCAGAATGACAAATTAATGTCGAATCCCTGCAAAATTTGTATTATTTTTTTTTGTAAGAGTAATTATATTTAACTGAAATGATATATGTAAATATATAATATTTTCTTCTGTTTTCCTACAATATCCCTTATTCCCTACAAAAGGTATATTTTTATAGGGAGAGTAAAAAACAATATTCTCGTTCTGTTTGCTTTGGTGAAACGACTTCTAATTAAAACCAAAAAGATTAATGGCTGTGAAAAAGTTTCTTAGTCGGTTTCATACTAATATATTATTTATTTAAAAAAAACTTAATTTTACCGCTACTTTGCCACCGGAACGACATCGCTAAGAAAACATGTAATTTTCTTCTTTTACACAAAAAAAGGTTTTATCTTGAGTTTTCTTATTAAGGGTAACTCGAAGAAAAACCAATTTGTAAAACTGCTTATTAATAAGATTAAAAAGTAGGGAGTCAAGTTTTAAAGGATATTCTTAGGAGAATACTTCAGAAAAATAAAAGCAGAGGAAAAATCGCACCCTATATAGAACATATATATGAAATGAGGATTATACTAATAAAATCACTAAAAGAATCGAAAAATGGTTGGTAACAATGCTTGGTAAACTAAACGACATGTATTTAAATTTGCAGGTATACCGGACCTGTGAATGTGATTTATTATTGATGTGAAAACAACACGCGAACAGTGATGCCAACTCGTGGGAAATTCCTCGGTTTGTGGGAATTGGGGGATTTTAACCTATAACACACACCATATTTGTAGGAAATTCTAAATTCATTTATTATTCGTAAAAAAAATATCGTATACGTATATATATTTCCCAGCAAAGTGAGGAAATTCAAACTAGCATTACCGCAAGTAAATACACATTTTTGGTTGGCATCAGACCGTATCAGACACATTTCTTGTACCCCCTACCCTCGAATATATGGTGAATTTTAAACTTATTTAATGATACTTTCCATATTTAGGTAATGCTGTTGTCATGAGATGAATCTTTTCACAGTTAATCTGTCAGTCATTTTTTATACTACTACTACCATAGAGTAAAAAATAAAAACTGCTATTGTTAAATTTCGGTTGCGACTTTACTATCGTAATCTTCTTATATCAACTAGGCGCGGTATTCCTTCTAATAGATACCATGCCATTAAATTTGTAACTTTTTTTGGGACACCCTGTAGAACTGTATATGATTTAAAAAAAAATTTAAATTAACCTACACATGCACATAACAATTTATTTTAATACAGACTCTTTGTCTCCGCGTTGAATGAGAGGCGCCACCCTGTACATTCTAAGATTTATCAAGCAAGAAAGGAAAACAGAAAACATATTTTTATAACCTACCTATGATGGCAGCTTTGGAAAAGGTACAACTTTCCGCACCATGATATTTTGATAAATAATCACATATTTGCTTTGGAAGGTCCCTACTTGACGATGCTCTTTTTAATGAATCACATATGTCTTAAAATAAAACATAGGTATAGTAAAGAAATTCTTATTACGAAACTATAGGAGTTAATAGTACCTGAGAATGAGTTTGAAACTCTGTGTGTTTGAACCCGTACTGGTGGAGGTAGATCCGGATCTGAAAATTTAGACAAATTATAAAGTATGATACCTAATGATTACCATATATAAAGTATAATACCTTAAAGGTTAAATATACACAGTGGCGCGCTAGCAATATACACAGTGGCGCGCTAACATATTTAATATAAATAAAAGTAAACTTTTAATACTTGATTACTTACTACAATATTCCGTAATTTGTCTACCTCTAACAAGAAACTGAGATGTTTGTATCAAGGTATTCACATAATTTTGGTAAACAATGACATTATAGTCAAGAGCATCAACAATAACTGAAAAAGAATAGAAATTAAAGTATTAGAAATTATAATTATCTAATTTATATATTTAAAAGTTTAAAATATAATTTCGTATTACTTTCGTAGTTACTTTGTTTTCATAATGTATTTATAGCAAAGTATACTAAACTACATATTTTTGAAATTAGCTAAAATATGTCTACCGATAGATACTAAAATATGTGGGGGTTTCCCATTTAAAAAAAGTTAAGATGGCATCGTATCGGTTAAAATTGACATTTTAAAAGATTTTAAGGTAAAAAATCGGCATCCTCGCGAAAAATTACATTAAAATATCTTTTTACTATTTTAACATAGCAAACAGGAACATGAGACACGTAAAATTATTCTGGAACATTCCATTCTTAAATGCACTGTATATCGAAAACGGTAAGTGCAAAGTATACTAAACTATATATTTTTGAAGTTAGCTAAAATTTGTCTACCGGACGGTTTTAAAATTTGATGGGGTTTCCATTTAAAAAAAATCAAGATGGCGTCGTATCTGTCAAAATTGACGTTTTAAAAAATTTTAATGTAGAAAATCGGCATCCTCGCGAAAAATTACGTCAAAATATCTTTTTACCATCTTAAAATAGAAAAGAGGAAAATTTTAAATTGGGTGAGACACTTAAAATGATTCTGAAACAATTCATTTTTAAATCCACTGTATATCGAAAACGGTAAGTGCAAAGTATACTAAACTATATATTTTTGAAATTAACTAAAATATGTCTACCGGACGGTTTTTAAATTTGATGGGGTTTCTATTTAAATAAAATCAAGATGGCGTCGTATTTGTCAAAATGGACGTTTCAAAAATTTTAATGTAGAAAATCGGCATCCTCGCGAAAAATTACATTAGAAAATCTTTCTACTATCTTTAAATACCAAACAGGAAAATTATAAATCGAGTGAGACACTTAAAATGATGTCCCTGTACATCAGAATTTGGAAGATATAATTATTTGATTGTAATAAGTATTTTAAAGCACAGTTAGCTTTAACTTTAACTTACATATTGTGCTAATATTTTTCTCTGTTTTTTTTTCAATTCAAGATTTCCATTTAAATCAAGATTAATAATTTTGACTCTAAAAAATACATATATTTTTTTATTCAATAAAAAAATGTAAAGTTCCAAAGAAAAATATTTAATTTTGCTGTCAAAGTTCATATAAAAAACGGAAGGCCTTGTACACTGTACCTTTTTAATTTATTATTATAACATGTATTTTTTAAAAGAAACTAATTATAAATTTTACAGAATATTTTTAAGATTTTAACCGTATTTAAAAAAATATGTGTTGAGTAAAACCGTAGGTATTTAAAAAAATATGTGTTAAGTTATTTTTATCTCGCTAAATTAAATTTAATTAGTTCATTGCTTACTTGTCCTTCCAGTCAGCTCCCCGCAATAGTTCCGCCCATTAATGGTAAAGCTCTCAAAATTGCACGGCAAATTAAAGTGTTCGAAGTATAGTTCTATCTTGCACACGTCCTGTAAGTAATTAAATGTTGTATATGGCTCCATCAGGTCTATAAAAGCTAATTAAAACCGTAGGGAAAAATGTTTCTCTTTTTAATTTAATAATACGCGTTATTCTATCGTAATTATTAATTATTATGATATGGAGTAGTCAGAATTAAAATGGATCAAGTCCAATTTTCTACTATTTTACGATAATGATCGTCTTTATACGTTTATAGATTATTGTTTTTTTCCAGTAGAGAAATTGATCAAGTCATACTCCTCGCATTATGCAGCTATACCCTGTTTATCCAAATTGTTTTATTTGAATTAAGTTACATTAAAAAACTCCCATTTTCTCCATAATTACCTTTTAGGACTTGATTCAGTTCACTTCTGAACCCCTCATATATAGAAACTCTTCACTCCTGTTCAGAATACCTCAGTTTTCTTAATTGTTGTGAATAATAACAACACAAGACCATAAAATAAACAATCATGTAAAAGAATAAATAAAAGTAATAAATATAAAAGTAAAAATAGCGTTTCAAGTTAACGTATCTTTTTTACTGTGCTATGCTACATTTTTAGCCCACCTTTGTAGTAGATTAAACAAACCCACTAGAATACTGGTGATTATGTTTAGGGGTTGATTATAAATAAAAAAATATATTTTTGTGTGTTTAAATAATACTGATAAAAATTAAAAATAAAATAGAAAACGTGACTCGTACAATAGGAAATTATTATTTTTGTCCAATGATAAGACACGTGAATAGGTGACATCCAAAATCACAAAAAAATCCAATTTTAGAGAATAACTGTCGCTTTCATGTATTCGATCTCTGGACAAACTATAGTCTGTCCAACGACAAGATCCTTGACAGTGATAGATGTGTCTGTCATTTTAATTTCAAAATAGTTTATTTTATTTTACAAAGAAATAAGTTGGTACAACTGGAACTCATAGCGATATATTTAAAATTTGATTGACAAGATGACAAGTGATTACTTCAAAATATTGTGAAAAAAACTGTATAAAACTGAAAAAATGTAATCGAGTTATTTTATTTAATAAAAACGGTATGTGTTAATACAAAACAAACAAGAACAAGACACTACATACCAAAAAAATATAAAAAAGAACTATTATTTACTTTCAAGCTTTATGAAACTACCCACATTTATGATTATATTTATCAATATAACTTATGTACAGGGACATCATTTTAAGTGTCTCACTCGATTTATAATTTTCCTGTTTGGTATTTAAAGATAGTAGAAAGATTTCCTAATGTAATTTTTCGCGAGGATGCCGATTTTCTACATTAAAATTTTTTACAACGTCAATTTTGACAGATACGACGCCATCTTGATTTTTTTTAAATGGAAACCCCCACATATTTTAGCATGGTCCGGTAGACATATTTTAGCTAATTTCAAAAATATATAGTTTAGTATATTTTGCACTTACCGTTTTCGATATACAGTGGATTTAAAAATGAATTGTTCCAGAATCATTTTAAGTGTCTCACCCAATTTAAAATTTTCCTCTTTTCTATTTTAAAATAGTAAAAAGATATTTTAATGTAATTTTTCGCGAGGACGCCGATTTTCTACATTAAAATTTTTTACGTCAATTTTGACAGATACGACGCCATCTTGATTTTTTTTTAAATGGAAACCCCCACATATTTTAGCATGGTCCGGTAGGCATATTTTAGCTAATTTGAAAAATATAGAGTTTAGTATACTTTGCACTTACCGTTTTCGATATACAGTGGATTTAAAAATGAATTGTTCCAGAATCATTTTAAGTGTCTCACCCAATTTAAAATTTTCCTCTTTTCTATTTTAAGATAGTAAAAAGATATTTTAATGTAATTTTTCGCGAGGACGCCGATTTTCTACATTAAAATTTTTTACAACGTCAATTTTGACAGATACGACGCCATCTTGATTTTTTTTAAATGGAAACCCCCACATATTTTAGCATGGTCCGGTAGACATATTTTAGCTAATTTCAAAAATATATAGTTTAGTATACTTTGCACTTACCGTTTTCGATATACAGTGGATTTAAAATGAATTGTTCCAGAATCATTTTAAGTGTCTCACCCAATTAAAAATTTTCCTCTTTTCTATTTTAAGATAGTAAAAGATATTTTAATGTAATTTTTCGCGAGGACGCCGATTTTCTACATTAAATTTTTTTACAACGTCAATTTTGACAGATACGACGCCATCTTGATTTTTTTTAAATGGAAACCCCCACATATTTTAGCATGGTCCGGTAGACATATTTTAGCTAATTTCAAAAAATATATAGTTTAGTATACTTTGCACTTACCGTTTTCGATATACAGTGGATTTAAAAATGAATTGTTCCAGAATCATTTTAAGTGTCTCACCCAATTTAAAATTTTCCTCTTCTCTATTTTAAGATAGTAAAAGATATTTAATGTAATTTTTCGCGAGGACGCCGATTTTCTACATTAAAATTTTTTACAACGTCAATTTTGACAGATACGACGCCATCTTGATTTTTTTTTAAATGGAAACCCCCACATATTTTAGCATGATCCGGTAGACATATTTTAGCTAATTTCAAAAATATAAAGTTTAGTATACCTTGCTCTTACCGTTTTGGATATACAGTGGATTTAAAAATGAATTGTTCCAGAATCATTTTAAGTGTCTCACCCAATTTAAAATTTTCCTCTTTTCTATTTTAAGATAGTAAAAAGATATTTTAATGTAATTTTTCGCGAGGACGCCGATTTTCTACATTAAAATTTTTTACGTCAATTTTGACAGATACGACGCCATCTTGATTTTTTTTAAATGGAAAGCCCATCATATTTTAGAATGGTCCGGTAGACATATTTTAGCTAATTTCAAAAATATATAGTTTAGTATACTTTGCACTTACCGTTTTCGATATACAGTGCATTTAAAAATGAAATCTTTAGAATTATTTTAAGTGACTCATCCAGTTTACAATTTTCGAATTTTTAAAATTCTTGAAAATGTCAAATTTGACAATTACGACGCTTAAATTTTTTATTTATTTATACTTTGATTCTTCTTCAATATGACCTTTACATACGGGGTGATTCCGGAAACTTTGGCAGCATATTTTGCAGATAAAAATAAGTAAAAAGTTCGTATAAATGTCCTAACATGCATAGTTTCGGTGATACAGGAGTAGAAGTATCATTTTATTTCGATATTTTCCAAATAATTTATGAAGTAACGTTAATACTTTGATGAAAATTGGTGTCTGGGAGATTTTGATATGAGAAATTTGATTTCGATGTCAATATAAATCCAATTTCTAGGGGCGCCACATACACGTGTTTTAACTGTTTTGAAGAGTAATAACTTTTGTCCGTACTACTGAGTATACGTACTATAAAACTACTGGGTGAAAAAAATATTCATTTATAACGATTTTTACGTAAAAAAGGTCTGTTGGTAAAAATTGTTACAAGTAATGGTTCTCGAGATATTGGGAATCGAAATTATCAATACCTGTCATCATTGACATATATTAAACATGTGGACTAAATAGTTACTAGTCTGAAATCATAAATTTGAAATGTTTTTTGCCAAAAGTTCAACAGAAACTGTTATAATTAATGTAAAAAAATAAAAATTTCCCACATTTATTATTTCAACCAAATATCTATCTACTCAACGTGTTTATTTTTTTGTCAATAATGACATGTATTGACTATTTCCATTCGAAATATCTTGAGAAAGGTTGCTCGTAGCGATTTTTACCGAGAGATATTTTTTACGTAAAAAGTCAAGAAAATGTATATTTTTTTACTCAGTAGTTTTATACAGGTATGGGCGAAAAGTTATTAATTTTCAAAACAGTTAAAACACATGTAGGTGGCGCCCCCTACAAATAAGAGTCATATTGACATAAAAATCAAGTTTCTCATGTCAAAAAACTCCCAGACACGAATTTTCAGCCAAATATTGACGTTACTTCAGAAATTAATTGGAAAAAATCGAAATAAAAATGAAACTTCTACACCCTGTATCTCCGAAACTAAGTATTGTAGGACATATATTTATACGAACTTTTTTACTTATTTTTATCTGCAGAGTATGCTACCGAAGTTTCCGGAATACAGTTCGGATCACCCTGTATATAAAAAAATGAAAATTTAAACTGCTAGTCATTTATCATAAGATAGCTCAATTTACGTAAATTTCATGCATTTGGATACAAATGCCACTCAGTTGTAAGTGAATGGCCATTCATATTCAAATATATAAAAATTAGGGGAATTCTTGATTTCAACCCCCTGTATATAGAAAACGGTAAATGCAAAGTATACTAAACTATATATTTTTGAAATTAGCTAAAATTTGTCTACCGGATCATGCTAAAATATGTGGGGGTTTCCATTTAAAAAAAATCAAGATGGCGTCGTATCTGTCAAAATTGACGTTTTAAAAAATTTTGGTGTAGAGAATCGGCATCCTCGCGAAAAATTACATTAGAAAATCTTTCTACTATCTTTAAATACCAAACAGGAAAATTATAAATCGAGTGAGACACTTAAAATGATGTCCCTGTACAAATACAAATTTGTAATATACCACAGGTATAAATAAAATAACATAGGTAAATACAACAAACTATTTTATTAATAATAACACCTACCAAATTTTATACCTTAAAGGTTGATTAATTAACTTTAATCTTAATTTTTTTAAACCAGTACCTTTTAACATTATTTTTCTGCAGTACTAAAATCCATTATTTACCTATCGTGTAATGTCGATATTTTACAGCTACTCCAGTTTTTAGTATGTGTTTAGTTTGATCCTTATATACGAGATGCACTTATCTACGACGAAATGGTATACAAACTTTATCGATAGCAACTTCATTGGTGTATAAGACTTTCTGCCCTGGCAGCGAGTATTAACCATAAACTGTGCTCTGGGTCTACAGTTAATTTTCACTCGATTTTTCCTCCACTTGACTTCAAAAGACACAAAACACA